GAAGGAAAATTGATATTGTGAAGAGAACTTAATCATTCTCCCGCTAAGTAGTTCGGTAGAGGACCAACAAATCATCTGCGCTAGCACTTCAAAACTTCCTAGACAGATGTAGTCCATTATCAACGCCTTTCAAGTATACTCTCATCTGTATTAACCTTCTTTCAAGCAAAAGTCAATATCAATAACACGTATCTCGTGCAGTAATCACTCTTATCTGTAAAATCATTACACACAGCCATATGAAATCCCATTTCCATACAGAGTAGTGACGGACAGTACTGGATGTCGCGTTAGTTTTGCTTATAGGTGTACTGGTTTAATTTAATAATTGTAGCCCAATACCACCTGGAAAGTCACAGGGTTTAATGAAATATGGAAAGACTAAAGATTGTGTTATATATTCTAAAAGTAAGACCAATATGGTTTATGTATATTAGACACACAAAACAGAATGTTTAGAGGTGTAATTGGTTGAAATGTCTGTTGAGGATTAATGTCACGAGTACGACATTTATGTTCAACCTTAAGATGCTTAAAAATGCTTTATTTGTTCACCACCACCCCAGCATTGCCAGGACATTGAATATGTAAAAATAGCCTGTTATGATGTGTTGCGTCAGGTGCTGCTTGAGTAACACAGAGACCTAGTAATGTTATGGTTAGCTTGTAAGACAGTGGATAAGAGTGATAATCTCTCCGGCTTTGAAATGTGCCCATATAGGAAACTGTATCTCTCACTACCTCTTCAATATCATATGTCATCAATCTCTACCAAGTGCAACAATTGAATGGGAATAACGAGTGGACAGACTTATAAAATACAACAAACAATAGATCTTGCCTCAACCGACGATTACTTAGCAGTGGTCAGAAGTTAACCATTTCAAAGTATATCATATTAAATAAATTACGAAAACTGTTTCAAAAACCAATTAATTAAAGTATAAATTGGCTTCTGTGGTTATTAAAACACTGACTGTGGACAGTGGAGGCTGGAAGCGTTTAATGTACTCTGATGATCCACTTTTCACACTTTTTCTGTCCTGATGATAGAGTAACAATATTGTGAAAACTTCATAATGCACTTGACCTATCTGTATTGTTCACCAGTTAAAACCTTCTGGAAATGGAGTAATGGTGTTAGTTCCTTGGAGTTCTTTATAATTTCAGATGACATAACAGGTATATATATATCAACTTTTTTTACCAGTCATGCCCAACCCCAATGAAATATGTCTACCCTGATGAACAAGGGTTCTACCAAAACAATAAAGTAATATTTCACTTCGAAGAACACGACAGTAGCTTCATTCATTCTATTTCCCCAGTACATTCACTGAATCTCAATCCCATATACAGAACATCTTTCGGCGAAGATGACCATTATGTACATCACAGTAATCTTCTCTTAACCTCTGTGAATCAACCACGTTCCTCGATGTATGGACTACAGTAAAACATAGGGTGGGTCCAAGCGTGGCCTAATGTTTAGCGTTCCCGTAATACGAATACGAAGGTTCTGTTAATTTATTTTTTCTCATTGACGCAAAATGCGCACGGCACTTTAGCATCTTAAATGTTCTATAAGACTGATGGTCAAATTTTACCATTCGGACAGATTAATAATACATTGGTCTGTTGTCAAAATTAACATGTTAAAAACATATTCATCATAATAATGATATAAAATCACGTAAGTTCTATACCATATTTAATTTCAAATTAAGTTTATATCACGTGATTATAATAGCTTCATTAAGTAGCAGCTTGGGTTAAATGTGCGTTTCCTCCCTCTGATACTCGTAAACTAACTTTCTACACTAAACTAAGTTTGAACTCAGTTTGTCTATTAATGAGCGAAGCTTTTCAGCTAAATGTAAAGTCCATTTTTCAATATATGATGTGAAACTTTTAACTAAATGTAAACTTCGATCTTTGATGCCCTTAAACTAATTTGTTACATTGAACGACTTGCGAACATCATTTCACTATAAATGTCTTTTCCCGAAACTCTTAAACTACCTTGTTATACTAAACTAAGTTTAAATTACGTCTATCTCTATAAATTATGTTAATTTTTTGTTTCATTAAGAATATGTTACCTGCTACTGTCTCATGTTGTTAATCCATTCAGCTAAGCTGGTTAAAGTGCATCTGCCCTATTCTTAGATGGTTGTCAGCTAAGCTAGTTAAAGTGCATCTGCCCTATTCTCAGATGGCTGTCAGCTAAGCTGGTTAAAGTGCATCTGCCCTATTCTCAGATGGCTGTAAACTTTATTGAATTCCTGATTTCCCTCAGATGTATTGAAAAGGCCTATTTATACAAAACGTTAATGTTAACTGTGCTTGTTTATAGACTTTTTCTAACATCTCCTGAGAAAACAACCTTAATGTATAGATTACTTTTCTGTTTTATTTTTTCTTAGATTTTTTTAGGTATACCAAACGAATGGCAGAATAACATGGTTGCTCTTAAATGTTGTTAAACGTTGTTAACAAACTATTATTGTTTTGAAAGTTAACTTTTCTCTGAAGTATTTTCGAGCTGAATTTGTTCCGAAACCGAAACTTTGACATTCATTTGTTGGTAAGCTAAGTTCAAGCTTCCACACACTCTCTATTGAAAACTGCAAATAACTAATTTTGCTACTATAGTACTATCACATTTAGATTTCACGGTTTGGAGAAATTGTGTTTTTAAATGAGTAAGATAGATGAACTGGAAGGGTTTTAAGTAGAACTTTGAAACGTTGCTCTTATTAAAAAGTATTTCATGTCAATGACGTGAGAAGTCTTACTCTTTTAAAACTTTGTTAATGTTAGATGTTGTAAATTTATCAAGGTGAGTATGAATAATTCCTTTGTTTATTAATATTATCATTGCTGATTAAGTTATTAACACGACTACGAGCTCTGGGGTTCTTTATTAGTGTTATCATTGTTGATTAAGTTATTAACAAGACTACGAGCTCTCTCTTTCTTTGTTAGTATTATCATTGTTGATTAAGTTATTAACAAGACTACGAGCTCTCCCTTTCTTCATTAGTGTTATCATTGTTGATAAAGTTATTAACACGACTACGAGCTCTCCCTTTCTTTATTAGTATTATCATTGTTGATTACGTTATTAAGACGACTACGAGCTCTCCCTTTCATTATTAGTATTATCATTGTTGATTAAGTTATTAACACGACTACGAGCTTACCCTTTCTTTGGTTAATAACCTTATCAATAATGATAATACTAATAACAAAGAAAGGGAGAGCACGTAGTCGTGCACATAGTCGTGTTAATAACCTTATCAATAATGATAATACTAACCTTATCAATAATGATAATACTAATAAAGAAAGGGAGATAAACATGGCTATGAACTCTCCCCCTCTTCATTAATACTAACCATTATTGGGTCACTAACCTAACTGTGGACTCTACTTGTATTTGATACTGTTAATCATTATTGTTGTATAAACCTAACTTTCGTCTCTCTTTCTTTTCTTTTCTAACTCTTTAAAACAAATTAAGAAGCCTGAAATTTCTCAATCTGCCTAAAATATTTAAATTTACTGATGGACGTTTTGATAAAGAATCCTCTGCGTTTTCTATTTTATCAATTATTTAACTGTAGTACAGAATCCTTCCTGCTCTCTCGTGTAGACATAATTTAATTTGTAAATACAGAATAGTGTGTGTTTTCTCCTGCTTCTACAGTAACATAAATTGGAACTATATTTTAGGTATTTTTAAGTTATGGCAATTCCTAAATATTTTCAGATACTGTTAATTTACTTCCTGAAAAAAATAGGGTTGAGTTTAATTAATATACGTCATAGTATTAATTAGTGTTCTGTCTTACTCCTATTAGCTCGTGAGTGTTGTTGACAGAACAACTTAACTATGATTCGATGACGAGGAACCCACTTTGAGACTAATAATGGTTGGAGACGGCTTGAATGAGTAATGAAGAAAAAACTTGAATATAAGTTTAACATAACAGCAAATGTACAACCTGATGATGACAAAACCTTGTCGAAACGTTGTATATTTGCTGTGATATTAAACTTATATTAATGTTTTTCTTCATTACCCATTCAAGCCGTCTCCAACCATTATTAACTTAACAATGAATTCTCTCACTTTTAGAGATGTTGGTACACTAAATTTTTACGCTCTCATAGATGTTGCTAAGCCTTGTTAAACGCTAATAAAATCTGTGCTCTCTCTGTTGTTAAGCCCTGTTAAAACACTATTCCAATTTGTACACTCTCTTTCAGATGTCGTTAAGCGTTGTTAAAAAATAACCAAATTTGTACACTATCTCAAGTGTTGTTAATCCTTATTAAAACTCTAAATAGAATCTAAAGGTAATCTTTATGTAAAATATTTTTAAGTTTAACTTATTCGCTAGTATAAATGTGTGCTTCTTTTATGCTTTTTTAGACTGTTTAATTATTTAACTAAGACTACTTCGAACATTACCCTCTTTTCGTACTCGGGATTTGGAAAGAGTTTCATTGTATATATGTGATGATTGAATAGCTATAACTTTATTTTTCTATGGCTATTCTTCAGGAAAGATCAGAAAAAGTACCAGATGCGCTTTTAACGGTTATTCAAAATTATAGTTTGAAAGATGACTGATGATAGAAAACGAATTACGTATACTTGAATAATATAAACATTTCTATTAGAGATAAACAAAATATAATTCGTTATAATATTACTGAAACTCCTGTACGTCTGTTTTTGAGTGCCTTAAATAACGTTTCTGTATACAAACCAATTGTCTCAATGTGGATATTGAGGATACTGAAAACCCACTTTATAAGTAAATATTGAGGATAAGTAAATAGCGAAATGAGGCGAAGATGTGTTAAGTTCTTGTAAATGTTTTAAAAATACACGAGGCTGGTGTTAATCAGTTCATTTATTTAAGTAAAAGCAAAAAGTACAATGCAATAACATGCATAAATCGTCATAAATTTTATATTTATTTAACGAGAAGCCCGTACAGAACAGAATCAAAATACATACGAATATACATATCCGTTAGTGTGTATTGTGTCCACTAATTCATATTTAATTGAATGATACAATATTATTGTTTACACAAGCTTTGCATTTTTAGTCGGTGGACTGTAGTTTGCTATAACTGTAAGCTGTATTGTTTCAGATTCTGTTTTATGAGGTACATTGAAAACATTGGTAGAATTCCGAGTACTGTGACTTGTAATGGAGGTGTTTCTGTACGAAAGTCTCGAATGCCAAGTTTGGATTCTGGATACGCTGCTATTTTTAACAGTTTTCAAACATGAGGTGAACCGATTCCACGCACCAAGTTTGGAATGAAAGGTCAAGTATATATAAGGATTGATGGCGCTATTACTGGCTGAGATAACACCAAATAACGCTACTATATTCTTGTTCAAGCTTTCTGGATTTCCGAAGGCCAGTACCATTTCCTGGATGACGTAAGGAAGATTTGTTACCATGAAGGCAACAAAGATAGCCATCGTCATCTTCAACGTTTTAATTTTTGCACGGGGAAGTGACGACACTGTCTGCTGACATTTCTTCATGGATGACGACTGACGCCATATTTCTAGTAAAATACGTGAGTAAAGTGCTACCAATAGGCAAAATGGAATTATGAAGACAGTTAAAAATACAAAAGCCATGTAGAGCTGGCGATGAAACTGCGGATACTCCCCAGTATAGAAGAGGGAACTACAGAAGCACTGGTTCTCACCAATTTGAACTTCACGAAAAATGTAAACATTTGGAAGTGAAGGAAGTAGAGAGGTCACCCAGGCCATCAAGGCAAGCTTCCATTTAGGAAAATGTGGCCTTAGAGGGTGTATTATGGCATAATAACGATCCAGGGCAATACTCACTAACATATAGGTAGATGAAACAAGTGCAAATGTCTGAAGCAACTTGAAGAAGCGACAGAAGACATCACCAGCTATCCATAATCTTCCCATTATTTCCCACACTATTTGAGATGTCATGGTCACCGTGGTAACTAATAGATCAGCAACAGCAAGGTTAAGGAAGAGTACTTTAGGTTTCGAATGGCGACGCCATCGAGAAACGAGAAGTTGCCAACAAACTACCGTATTTCCAAATAACGAAATAACTATCATTACTGCAATGATAACAATCCGAACGGTTCGATGGTAATCAGGTCCGAAAACGTCATTCATCATACCAGTGTCCGTTAGGTTAGAATCGTTAGAACTTTGATGAAAAGGATTTGCCAAGGTTGCCATAGTATCCATAATGTATTTAATGCATTACTTGCACATTCTTAATCACCTTTCGGTTTATGAAAATCTTATAAATACGATTCACTTTCTAAATGTATATTTATCCAATATTTTAAATATATTCCCGCATCTCGAATCAAGAGATGAAATAAATGTGCCGAGAATCAGAAAATGTTATACCAGGTTATCCAAGTGACGATAAAGTAATATAGCTTCATGAAGGAAAACATAGGTTTTTCAATCAAAACTTTTAGTTTTGAGATTGATACAGTTAAGGAGAGAACACGAAAAACGTTGTTTCCTTTTGTTTTTTCTTCTCGTCGTAGATTCCCGAATGGATTGTTGGACGAGCAAAAACGTCTTTGAATTTTGTTTTTCTGTAAAGAAACAAAACATGATTTTCAAAATAAAAAGACATTAGGAATAAATCATAAATAATTCTAAAAATCTTATTAGTCCTAGCTCAGTTATAAGCAAAGAACACCCTGAAAAAATCTTTAAATCATTAGTAGTTTCACGTAAAAATTTAAAAAATAAGTAGTTATCCCTGTCTTATGAAACTAGCCCATTATTTTTAACGCCCACTTCCGCATTTCACAGTGGTATGTCTGCAGACTTACAACGCTAGAAACCAGCTTTCGCTATCCGTGGTGGGCAGAGCACAGATAGCCCACTGTGTAGCTTTGTATTTAACTTCAAACAAACAGATACATTGCATTTCATAACTCTATTACACATCCTAAAAGTTTAGAGCAATGGCTTGTTGTCGTCCTAGCTATTTTAACTTACTTATATCAACTTCTTTCATCTAATAACACTGTACTTCAGAGTGTACTTCTTGCTTTGTATCTAGTTAGACTAACGTTCATTTAGAAATGAAAATTTATAAAAGACCCAGACTAACCTAAATAAGTACTTAGAAGAAAACACAAACCCAATTATTGTTTAAGTCTTAGCAAGTGTCTTTCTAGACTGGGTATATATGTAGACGTAAAATCTGTAGCTACGTCACTTTGACTTTGTTGTATTGAAAAATGTTTCTCTGACTGGTTTTAGTGTATTTTCGAAAAACAAAATATATTGCAAAATGAGAACGTAACGTATTCTCAATATCAATGTAATTTTAATAAACATTAAGCATTAAAAGTTATTCAACAATAACTCATTTTAATTTAACATATATCTTAGTAAAACGTCAGACTCGTGAAACGTTCCCCCTCTCTTTAAGATAATGGTAGATGTTGTGTTTGGTTTTATCACATTACTGTTCTACAGTACAGGGTCTGTAATTTTCAAGTAGATATAAAAAAATCTTCTATTTCATGCATATTAAAAAAGTAAAAAGATATTTGCGCTATTTTGCTTATTAATAATAAAGTTATAAAATCCGTGTTGTCGTCTCTCATAATTGTTTGGAAGTTTAAAATTGTGATTTTATTACAAGATTTCGATATAGTTGTGTATCAAAAAATTAATTAGGGAGTGTAGAAAAGAAAAAACAAATATTCAAACAACTTTAAAACGTTTCGTGTATATTTTTCCTTTAGTTGAATGTTGTAATGGTGTTAACTAGGTGTTACTATAGATCAAGTTAACTATTTTCAGTTGGTTGAAAAGTTAAAAAAAAAGCATATGTCATCACGAAAACCACAATGCGAAGAGAAATCACTGAACGTAACTTAAACGTTGTATTTCTACGCTGCACAGAAATAGTTTTAACACAACAGATGCCTACAGTTCTGGACTAATCATTAGATCTGCCACAAATAGAAAGCCCACAGTCTTCACAACACCTACGATTCATAAAAAAATAACTTAATGTTTTACGTTTTCAAATGTTCTGTCTTTAAACAAGCGTTGTGAGATTATTAATATTTTAAAGTGTGTGTATTTGTTTTAGGGCAAAGCCACATGGGGCTGTCTGCTATGTCTACCGTGGGGAATCGAACCCCGGATTTTAGCGTTGTAAGTCGGTAGACTCACCGCTGTCCCACCGGGGGACATATTTTAGTAAGCGATAAAAACAATGAAGGAAAAGGTGTTGATTTTGAGGTCATTACTCGTGTTTCAAGGTTTTAATCTTGTTCTAAAAAGGTCTGAAAGTAGCATTTTCTTCCTATTACAAACTTTTACATTAAAACTGTCTCAAAAATGTATACTTAACTAACTAACTAACTAAGGAAGTCTTGGCCCGGCATGGCCAGGTGGTTAAGGCACTCGACTCCCAATCTGAGGGTCGCGGGTTCGAGTCCCCGTCAAACCAAACATGCTCGCCCTTTCAGCCGTGGGGGCGTTATAATGTGACGGTCAATCCCACTATTCGTTGGTAAAAAAGTAGCCCAAGAGTTGGCGGTGGGTGGTGATGACTAGCTGCCTTCCCTCTAGTCTTACACTGCTAAATCAGGGACGGCTAGCGCAGATAGCCCTCGTGTAGCTTTGCGTGAAATTCAAAACAAACAAACAAACAAGGACGTCTTACATATGTTTTAGTATCTTAGCAATAAACATTGTAGGAAATCATATTTACAGAGTTCGACATAAGTTTCGGAAAGTAAAAACACTTTTAAAAAATTCTAAAATGAATGAATATATTTTGTTTGTCTGCTGAATAATTAAGAAGAGTAAAAAAGTAGCACCGCTGCTGTGTATTCTGAAAATACTTTATAAATATAGGTTCACTGTGGTAAGTAAAAGATAATTCTAAATACGACACATATAACTTTTAAACTGTATCTAACTGCAACTGATCACCTAGCCCTGTACATCCTCAAAGTGTAGACGTTGTTTCTTGCAGAGTTGTTTTGATGACCATGAACTAACGACGTGCATTCTCTACACATAAGGCGATGTATGATACGTTTGGATGTTTTAGTAACTCATAAAGAGTGCTAATTAATTAATTAATTACAGTACAATAGGCTACATCACAAAGAACGAACACGGGTATGAAAACTGAAGAAAGCAAGTGACCATCAGCAAGATGTGTATGTCAGTGGAAGAAAAAAAAAAGAACATTGGTTTTGATTTGGTTTTTTGTCACGTGGGTCAAGATGTTTTCATATTACAGCTCTTACAGACAGGACATTGAGACTACGAGTTTGATAGACGTAGCTGGAAAACTGGATGACATAAAACATATTTCAGCAATGAAAGTTAATAAACGTCTGGGTCACAACTAAAACTTCACAAATTGTTAATAAACTTAGAAAGCGCTATATTTGAGCTGAAAGTACACCTAATTATATATTATATAATATATAACACATAATGTATAATATACAATTATATATAATATATAACACATAATGTATAATATACAATTATATAATATATAACACATAATGTTTAATATACAATTATATGTAATATATAACACATAATGTATAATATACAATTATATATAATATATAACACATGACGTATAATATACAATTATATATAATATATAACACATAATGTATAATATACAATTATATATAATATATAACACATAACGTATAATATACAAGAATATATAATATATAACACATAACGTATAATATACAACTATATAATATATAACACATAACGTATAATATACAACTATATAATATATAACACATAACGTATAATATACAACTATATAATATATAACACATAACGTATAATATACAACTATATAATATATAACACATAACGTATAATATACAATTACATAATATATAACATATAACGTATAATATACAACTATATAATATATAACACATAACGTATAATATACAACTATATAATATATAACACATAACGTATAATATACAACTATATAATATATAACACATAACGTATAATATACAATTACATAATATATAACATATAACGTATAATATACAATTACATAATATATAACATATAACGTATAATATATAATCATATAGAATATATAACATATAATGCATAATGCCCCCATTGGCAAAGCGGTATGTCTGCGGACTTACAACGCTAGAAACCGGGTTTCGATACCCGTGGTGGGCAGAGCACAGATAGCCCTTATGTAGCTTTGTGCATAATTAAAAACAAACAATAATGTATAATAATTAATAAATGAATAATTATATAATATATAGCAGAAGGTTCGACGTCATGGTGTGCCATGTTATCCTTTCCTGTGCTGCTCTGACGTACCCTGCATAGTCCAGTTATACCCGCTCACATTTGTCTTTCATCCGTGATGCCTGTTCTCTGACCACGTGACCATAATATCTACACATTCGTTGTTTTAATGTATTAAGTAATGTTCCTCTAGCTTTGATCCTTCTGAGTACCTCTTCATTGGTGACTCTGTCTTTGTAAGATATTCTTAGAAATACGATATAGAAATTGATGTTCATGTAGTTTTCTACGCTTAAGTCTTATGTGTGTGGCTAGAAACTCACTAAGTTTTAAAATTTTGTGATGACACTAATACATATGTTATATGCCATAAGGCTTCGAATCTCGGCATTGACACTAATGCAAACGTAGTATCCAAAGGTCTGAGAGCACTGTTTTGACACTAATACATCTGTAGTTTGTATTGATACTAATGCACATGTAATTTTCCAATAACCAATAGGTATTTGAAGCCCAGTACTGGTAATAAAGCGTGGGTAGTTTTTAATTCTTTTCTAAGTCTCAAAGCACCGTTTTAACACTAAGACACATGTAGTTTTCTGACAGCAGAAACGTCTTAAAAGTCGCATATTTAAATTAAATTACCGCAAAAACGCATGTCGCACTTGAGCCGGTCATCGCAAAGTGGTCAGCGAGGTCAGGATGTGAATCCGAAAGTTCATGGTTCGCGATTAGTCGCACTTTCATGGCGTGAGTGTACTACAAGAATGGCGATGGAATGTCATTATTCGAGCCGAAAATAGTAGTCCAAGAGTTAGCGGTGGGCGCTGTTCTTTACGTGTTTTCCTTCCAGTCTATCAGTTCAAAATTAGATTTTAATTGTGTATTACAAAACGTTGTTCGTTTGTGTATTTTAATATTTTAAGTACATATACAAGTTCCTTGAATTTTAACCTTTTAGTATTAAGGAATAAAGTTTTATTTTCGAAAGTCTTTTTAAAACTCTAATAGCTTACTCATATTTCTAGTATTTTCTAAAAATGAGTTTGTTGTAAGGTTCAAGACACCTCAACTTTTTCGTCAGAAGAAAAATAAACTCCTTTAATAAACATTCATGTTTCTCCACATCACCTGTTTAAACATGATTCTAGCCTTTACCTGTCGGCTGTGTCGGTCTAGACTCCTCCAAATGACGCACTTATTGATTTCTTCACGTGTTGTATAGAGTTAGCTGCACATAGTGATGACAAGATAATTTGCGGAAACATTGTATTTTTTCTTTTTCTTT